GTAGAAATATTTCATACTTTTAGGAATAGGTGGAGAACATTTACTGGAGTTTTACACTCTTCATGCCAAGGGTGGGAAGTTGGTGCTATCCAAAAATGTGGCTACATATTTGTAGAAGTGTGTTTTACATTAGTATGCTACAACTTTCTGAAATGTGCACTGCATATGCGAGATGAGCTTACTAAACAAATGTAAAAATCACCTTTCCATTTTCGAGCTTTAGAGATTCAGGTAACCTATTGACATGAATAACCCGTGGTGATGAAAATGATTACGGAGTATTATTTTGTACACTTAATGCCATTGAGGAAGGAAGGGGGCACTTGCAATGAAAAACTTATTGCCTAATCATACTAAAAAGGCTAGGGCTGAGATAGCTCATGATCTAGTTTCTTTTGGAGCTGACTAAGCTGAATTACTATGCAGAGCAAAAGTCAGACAGGGAGCAGTTTATGAAATTCTGCAAGAAAGTTGAATACACCATTCGAGCATGGTATCTAGTGAAATTCGAAGAGATGATGGTATTTGTTGTTCTTTCAAGGTTTATATAATTTCTTGGAGAATTGGGTTCAAACTATGTATGTGTTTGGTTTTTGGTCCTAGCAACTGCACACCCTTTTTGATCCTGTTCATGGGGCTCGCAAGTTGGAAGAGCAGAACTTGTCTCAAGAAGAAATCGATGAACTTGAGCAGAAGTTCCTTGAGCATCTCTTTGAGGTATTACACATTGTTTTATCTTTTAGTTGCTCTTTTTGAGGCTGTGCAAAATAGTTCAGAAAACAGAATGTTAAAAAATTTCAAGTTGCTTGACCCTTAACCCTACAATCTTGAAGGCAAATATCTTTATTGTTCTTAATTGTAAAGGGGAATCCATATCTTGGGCTCCTGCAACGTGATGCTCCATTGTATTTTTTAATCATCTGAAGATCCTGGCAACTGTTGTATTGCTTTTTCTAATTTCCTATATCTGTATCATTATTTTTTTGAGGAATTTATCTATATATTTATTTGTTTATTTTCCTATGAAGATGATGAACAAGAGTAATTTCAAAATTGTTACCAATGATGAAGTTGAAGTTGCAGTTTCTGGGAAATATCGTCTAAATTTTCCTATCAAAGTTGATGAGACGAAGGTTTGTGCTATTAATTAAAATGTTACACCCTTGACAGTCCCAAAATAAATGTCACTCTATGGCATAACCATAATAATCTTTAGAAGGAAGTTCAAAGAATTGGGAGGAGGATGGCATAAGAAACTAAGAATTAATCAAACAATCTGTCACTGAGGGGTCACTTTATCCGGGTCAAACGTTTTTTTTGGGTTCAATGTGATCTATGCATCATTAAATTCCTTTTATATTTTTGTTCTTAATTCCCTTTTTTCCCTCACTGTAGCTTGACACCTCGCTCTTAAAGCAATTTTTCACTAAACATCCTCATGATCACCTTCCATACTTTGCTAACCAGGTACCTTCTTGAATCCCTTACTGTAGAAAAATTTCAAAAAATAGCAAACATTGTATTAAAACTTATTTTCCTTTTGGAAATGTCACTTGTTCTGGTTGAAAATGAATTGCATGTGTAGAACATAATATCTTGGGAATTATGGGTCTTTCCAAAATCACCTCTTTGCCTTTATAGGTAGGGGCTAGGGATAGGGTTTGCATAAAGACAACCTCCCTAGGCACTACTTGTGGGACAGTATAGGGTTGTATATCATGGGAATTGTCTTGATTGAATTCTATAGCTGTATTTTGTGTTGCAAATAATAATGAGTATCAACTGAACTTGGTTTGATAAAAGATAGTGGCAATAAATTCACTATTCTTTGGCATTTTCTTGTTGTGGACCAATCAAAATGGCATAATAAGCTATTTGTACTGCTTTTTTATCCATAGTGAAACAACAGATAGTTGTGTATATAACAGGGTCAAATGGCATTGACGACTCTATGAGAGTTTTCATAGCCTTACATGGATAATGATGTGTCCATCTGATTCCTCACTGTTCTTCATTGGCTGAGATTCTCGCTAGAGGCATTGTGGTAATGTTGTTGTCTTGTTGATTATGGCAACAAATCTAAGATTCTTTTCATGGCTATGCATCATGTTTTCAGTGGGAGATAGGGAATGGGATCTTCATTTTTATCGGAGTAGCAGGGGGCGATGGGGGAATAATCTTGAACCTTCTCCCCACCCTTGGCATAGTAAAAATTGTTGCAATTATTGACCTTTATCAGAATAAGAAAAAGAATTTTTCGGCCTAAGGGCTAAGACAATACTCACCCTTGAAACAAGAGAAGTATATATTATCTTGTTGTAAAAAGTGATACACCATAATTACATATATGTAAAACTACTCTAGTGTATTTTATAGTTTAAATTGTGCATAAAGTTATATTGAGAGTCCCTGTTTTAAAAAAAAAGAGTCCCAAGGGTCTCATAATGGAAATTAAATCATTAAGCTTCCGGCCTTGAGATTAATTCCAATGACTCTTGTGGGTTGTGTACCATATTCCGTAACTACTTCAGCTTACCCTCTTCTATAGAGGGCCATGTTCCTAAGCATACCTACACATCTCAAGCCCAATACATGGTGTTCCTTCACACCCAATTAGTTGATCCCTCTTGGTCATCTGGCCCATAACTCAACCAAGGAAATTCTGTGTTTGCTTACTCTTAATCTTCCCACACTGGATTTGTCTATTATTGGTGGAGCTAAAAGAACCAGTTTTATAATGTTTTAGCTTAGACATCCTAAGAGTTATGGACTAAATAGAAATTGGACATTAAATGCATCATTGGTCTTACAAAAGTACTTTATTTTTTACTCCTGACCAGACCCCAATGAAGTTGGAATTCTGTAGGGTTTGTTGTCGCTGTAATTAACATCTGAAAGGGTAAAGGTAAAATAAAAGAATTCTCTCTCCCTCCTTGATCGTTTGACAAACTTTTTTAATGCTCCCTCCGTCCCAAAATAAACAACCCACTTTCCTTGTCGGTTTTCCCCAAAATATAGGTCAATTTATCTTTTTGGCAAGGAATATGTGGCCATTATTATTTCTCTATTTCAAATCAATTCCTACCATAAACCTTTCAATTTTCAATACTTTTCTTAAACTTCGCATCTGATCAAAGTGCACTTTTAATTTGGGATGAAGGAGTACTATTTATGGTAACATAGTTTTGCGATAAGAATTATGGCTCGTAAACCATGCAAAACAATAACAGCAAAACAACATAGTAAGATCTCACAAGTGGAGTCTTGGTAGGGTTAGTGTATGCAAACCTTACCCTTGTGTGTAAAGATGCAGAACTTGTTTCTAATTCACCCCCAACTCAAGATTTACATGGAATCCCTTGAGGAGAAAAATCATAAAAGAAGAATGCCACAAACCCTATGGTTCTCAATGATCCATGCTTTCACGAAGGAACCTCTCAGGAACCCTTCGATTATGCAAATAATGAGAGTTGGATTGTTTTGTGTGCACTCATGCTCTTTGCTTATGGATGCTAATAATGGTTACTTGATTCAATTGCAGTACATAATTTTCCGGCGTGGTTTTGGAATTGATCATATGAGTTCTTACTTTATTCAATGGAAAATCGACACTATTATTTCACGTATTTGGCAAGGATTTTTGAAATTCACTGGGTAAGTCAATTAAATCAAGGTTATCGAATGTTCATTCTGATACATTTTTTCTTGAAACATGTGCTATTTAAGAAGTGACAATATTTTATAGGTGAAAAGGGTCTATTTCACTCCAATAAATTTTTAGTCTCAGTATCCATCCATGCTATATTCATGTAAAAACCAGGACTCTTTGTTTATCATTGCTGTTTGCTTTGTTGTTGTATATATGGAGTTTGTGTTTTGATCCTTAAGTCAGTTATGCTACTCGTTATTTTGAGCAAATTTGTATTTTATAAATGTTTTATCCTGCCTATGATTTACATAGCCTGAAAAGGTTCTTATCAAGGAAAAAAAGGTTGAGTTATATGAAAAGTCAAGAATCAGATGGAATATCTGTACAAGATGAAGAGGAGGGCAATGATGTTGATGATGATGGGGATGAACAAGACCTATTTATTGAAAGGGTTCGCATCCAAAATATGACTCTCAGGTATATAGTGAACCTCTTAACTTTGTTTCCCTTTTTTTGTTGCACTTGATGTCATCACTCACACGCTAGTTAGTGTAAGATAGATTATAAATTCATGCCATTTGCGCCATGAAGTAGAAGTGCAAATTGGAAAGCTTGAACCTATTTTGGTCAAACCAAATTTATTATTGTTTTTGAAATATTAGAATAAAACTTACATTACCACTCATTTGCGTGCACACCCATAGATAGAAACCTCTTAGAATTAATTCAGGATGTATATTAAAACGAAATAGAACTCTCCTTCCCTTCTCTCCATAACTACAGTCCCATGAAATGCATTTTTTAAATGATACTTTCTCCGCTCCAAAATAATTGCAACATAGGAACTTTCACACTTACCAATGCACAAGTTAAATATTACTCCCTCCGTCCCCTATAGATCTTCTGAATAGCCCTTTTTCTTTGTCCACAATAGATCTTCTCATTTCATTTTTTAACAATTAAAATACCATAACTACCCCCACTTACTTTATTTATTACACCTCACTCACCTTATTTAATACACTCCACCCATATTTCATTAAGGGTATTATGGTAAACTTTCACCTTTTTTCAACTCTCCTTAAAAACCACCAAAAGTCAAAATGAGAACATCTTAGGGGGACGGAGGGAGTACTATCTTAAAATTTGCTAGAATAAAAATTATAAAATATTGATAATATGATGATTTTTATCGAGATGAATCTAACAAGATCCCACATGACTATTTTTACTTGTGTATATGATAGAAACCTGTTTGAATTAATTCAGGATCTAAATTAATTCTAAATAGAACTCTCCCTCCCTTCTCTCAGTAAGAATCTCACCGATGAAAAAGTGATAGAAGCCAAGAGGATCTCAATGTGATTGATAGTTTATTTTCCAGGATATCTCAGCAATAGAGAAGCTGGGATATTATAACAACTCTAACAAATGGATAAGATCAAACTGATCGGATAAGATCAAGAGAATAAAGTGATAAGTTCTAACTAGCTAAGCTATCCTAGGGCCTCAGGAATCATAATAACCTGAGAGTCCTTTTATTTAATAAATAAAAAACAGTAACAAACTTAATTAACCCACACCTATTAATATAATTAAGGTGGCCTTCTACTATCACTGATCCGGATCTTATCAGTATAGATCACAAACAATTGTCAAATGAGGGTGTGTAAGTAGTGTAAAATTTTGATTGTTTCCATTTTTTGAGCGCTGTGATCACAAGACATGCATCCAAAAAAGTTCTGAATGCATACTGCTGGCCCTCTTCAACATTATTTAGTTTGTCTACTTTGTGATATGGCGTGTTTAGGAATGATTCTTACATGTCCTTGAATAACTCTAAGTATCCTGCATGATTTGTGATGACAAGAGTGTCTAATGTTGTTGCTCACTTCTCTTGGATTAAGGTTTTGGTTCATTAGTTGGTTGGTCACATTGCATTTTACATTTTTGTGGCCGGTTCCAATAATCGACATTTTTTATTCAGTATTGGCAACTTATTGAGTAAGACGACAATTCAAGAACCAACCTTTGAGAGGATTATAATTGTATACCGGTAATTCTTCTTTAATTATACTTTAATTCATACTCCATATCACATCTCAAACACTGATCTAGGTCTACCATGTTAGATTTGGGGGCCAATGTCCCGAGTTGAATTTTTAGGTTGATTATCATTACATATAGATTTGAGAATATTTACTTTTGGCTTTTTACTGATACATCCAATGCTACAAAGTATGAAGGACCGGTTGAAAAATATTTAGGTTCACCATTGCTATATTTGCTACCCCGACTGAGAAACGAAACACTTTTAGACTTTGATAAAGTTGATGTTATTATTAAAGCACGTTGTATATTTAAATATTAGATGCTACAGGTCTGCTAGTTCGACTTTCAAGTTTCAAGTTGTAAAAACTCTTGAAATAAGGTCTTCTTTAATACTCCGTAATATATAGAGAATATTTTAATTTTTGCTAACAACCCTCATTGCATCCCGCTTTTAGACTCTCTGTGAATGTGGAGGGCACTTGTAACTTCCTAAAGATAGAATACCTGCAGGTTACAATCTAGGGAGGCAGATTGTAGGGGAATTTATGTCAAGCACTTCAAAAACATTCCCATGGCTGATATGGAAATAGTTCTTGTACGGTTATATTTTACCTCTTCATGTTGAACAATATAATACTCAGTAACACATTTTTTCAGAAATGACTATAATCTGATGTCAAGTTTGAAACTAGACCTGGCAAAACAGACTCGAACCCGATAACCCAAACCAAATAACCCAGAATCGAATCCGAAATAACCCGAAAGTTGAAAAATTGAATAAAACCTGAACACCCAAAACGATCCAAACCGAGCCAAATGTATTCAGATCCAATTCTAATCCGAGTTCGGTTGAACCCGAACTGACTACACCCGAACCGATAAAACCCAGAACTGGTTGGACCTGAAACCAATTAGACCCATAACCGATTAGAGCCAATATTGATCAAATTCAACACAATTAAACTCAAATTCAGTCAAACCTAATAGCTCATTGGTTGATGTCTTTTTTCAGAAAAGCATATTTAAATTATAGGTACAACTAATTTCATGTACAAATTTTTTTATTCCATATTTTATCACTTAAACTAAGGTGGTTGTCTATTTTTATACATAGTATGTATAATTTATAGTGACATCGTAACACACATTGATAGATATACTGATTCATTATTGCTGACACATGTATATTTACCCCCCTTTACACACGGGGAGGGGAGGCTACACACAAGGCTAACATTACGAACTCTAATACCAAGGGGATCTCATATAAAACCGGCATAAACCCGAACCGGTAAAAACCTTAACCGGTATAACTTGAACCAAAATAAACCCGAACCAAAATCGAATTGAAATCGGGAAAAAATCAAACCAAATTAAACCCGGATCCGAACTGAACCGACCCGACCTAAACCGATTATAACATATATCCGAGAGAGACCCAAACCGAAAAGATCCAAACCGGAACCGAACTGATTGACCCAATTGCCAGGTCTATTTGTAACTCACAATTTATGTTTTTTGAAGCCTGAAAAGAAGAATCCTGGACTAACGCCACTTGATTGGGTTAAGTTTCTGATTTCAGCTGCCATTGGACTGGTCAGTACCTGGCAGTTTTTGATATCTTGAGCTACTGTTCATTAGTACTGTCAGCATTTTTCATGGATACCCATTTTAATGTACTCTGCAGGTAACTGTAGCCTCTCAGCTTGCCAAGTCCAAAGCTGATATAAAAGTCTTGGCAACTGTCTGCTCTGCGGTAGCTGGTTATGTTGCTAAAACATATTTCACGTTGAGTGTTCTTTTCTCTGAATAACTGAACACTACTATAGGCAAAAGATTCATTATTCATGGGCTTTATATTATTCTGTACTGAATCAAAATAACTTAGTTTTTTTAGGGAAAATAACTCATTAAATTGTCTCTGTGCTATTCAGCAGATAGAAGTCCCATTCAAGGGAAAGAGTCTTATGAAAACATTTCTATGAATTGTGGTTGAGGGTAGGGCTCCGATTTCCAAATTCCAACCCTAAACCTTGTTTGGGTTGAGGCACGAGGTAGTGCTCCTATTGCTGCAGTTAGTAAGAGTTTCACCTCAGGGGGTTGACAAGAAACTCCTGTAGTGAACAAAGGATAAAAATTGTGGGGTTTATGGAGGAACATGTTTTGAAGAGGCTGAATCGCCGTTATAAGTGTCCAAAACCAGTGTGCGTAAATCCATCGGCTGGGTTTATGCTGACTTTACTAATATTCATGCTTCCAGGTATAATAAGAATTTGAGGGATTATCAGAATTTAATCACAAGATCGATGTATGACAAACAACTAGATAGTGGGAGAGGCACTTTGCTTCACCTATGTGATGATGTGATCCAACAGGAAGTAAGTTGCTAGTTAGTTACTATAAGCATTCTTTCTCTTGGTTGGTTGCATCTTCTGGGTGAATAAGACTATATCATTCCCAACTTATTCATCTCAACATGACAATATGAGTTACCTGTCGATATATAAAGAGTACAACATTTGATTTTCCACTAATCAACCAGGAAAAATCATGTTTTAGATCTTTATTGGTAGGCAAATAGGTTTGCATTTGTGTTTGTTTTTTGATAGTTAACCATCTTTCTATTGTTTTGCTTTGCGTTTGTGTTTGTTTTTTTGATTGTTAACCATCTTTCTATTGTTCTTGAGTATGAAATGTATGACTTATTTAAATTAGGAAGGCATTGCTATATATACACAGGTTAAAGAAGTTATTGTGTCTTTCTTTGTGCTGACGGAACATGGAAAATTCAACAGGCAGGTTAGTCATTTTTTGTTTTTGTTTTTTTTTTCTTTCCAAGTTTTTTCTTTCTAACATCATTAAATGGTAATTTCTTTTACTTTTCAAATAATGAATGATGAACCTGCAGGGTCTTGACCAGAGATGTGAGGAACTTATCAAAGAGAAATTCAACGAGAATTGCAATTTTGATGTTGATGATGCAATTCAGAAGTTAGAGAAGCTGGGCATTGTTTATAAGGCAAGAACACTTCTTGGTTTCTTTTGTTCATAATATTAGCTCACAATAGTATAGATAAAGAAATGCTTGAGATGAAAACTCTATAGGTTAACTGCTACCTAAGCTGTGATTTCTGAAGCATAACCTTATTTGCTCCCTATATGGCACATATTTACGCACCATGGGATTTTTTTTCTTTCTCAGAAACAGGATGGGCTGTACTCATCGGTTGATGTTAAAGAGGCAACTGAGATGTTAGGCACTACCACAGAGGAAGTTGTGACCAATGCTGTACATCAGGGTCTTCATTCATGATCCCTTTTATTTTTTCGGTGTCGGGTTGAAAGGTATGAGTATCAGTTACAACCGATTGGATAAAAAGTGCATTGTAAATCATGAACTGTTTATTTCATCCTCAAAGTGGCTGCTTAACATTAGAGACTAGAGCCGAAAGCACTCAATATGACATGATAAATTTGCTTATTCGATGGGAAGATTGCTAGCTTATAGCATTGTCCTACACCTCAATTCGAAGTTGTTCTCTTCTTCTTAGTGGTGAGAACTGAGAATCATTCTTATCACCTTCTTGAAGGTGTGACAAAATTATCATTTTAGTTATTTTGTTTTATGATGTTTTCTTTCTCAAATTTTAATGTGTTATCGCTTTACTTTGAATTTTCGTGTGAAAAGTTTCAAGAAAAAAATGCGTTTAATCGCAAAATCTTAGCCCAAATTCATAACACGAAAGCCAGAGCGCTAGAATTGTCATGTTATTATGGACATGTGATTGGTACTATAATGGCTGTTATATTTAACTTATACCCGATACCGTTAAGTGGGTCCAACTAATGTTTATTCCCCCCTCCCCCAATCTCATAATCGATTACAACTTGTGCAAAATGAAGAATTTTTTTTATTTTTATTTAAAGACTGATGTAGAAATATAAAAAATAAAACTTGCATAGGTTTGTAGATAAATCTAGTGTTGAGTGTTATAGGTGCCATTTCAAGAATGAATGTCACACTAACCAAGGAAAGACAAAGGAGAGAAGTCAAGTTTTGTATGGGCTGAGCAAGAGGAGTGTTGGGGAAATTAATGAAAACTTGGATGAATCGAGAGTTGTGTAAATACTTTCAGATTGAATATTTTGGTTGTTCACTCCAAAATTCAATCGGATAAAACTTGAAGGTATCAAGAACGAGTATGAATTAGTATGAATTTTTCCAACGAAAATCCTACCATGCCTCGCGGGAATTTATAAACTTGCGGTGAGAAGGAGAAGACACCATTCGCGGCTATTACCCAAAGCACGCAACTCTTTGGCGAAAAACCCTTTTGAAAACAGCACTATCCTTAGGAATTTTCTTTTAAAGAAAATTTGAAAAATAAAATTCAATTGAATTTTTTTAACATAGCACCTTGCCCAAAATAAAAAATTTTCGAGCTGACCTGGCATCTCGACCCCAGCCACGGGCTCTGCCCCTTGGACCCCGCAGGGGCTGCCGCCCCTTGAACCCTGCTCGGGGGCGCTGCCCCCGAACCCCCGCCAAGGGGGCGTTGCCCCCTTGGAACCCCCGATGTAACGGGATTTTTATCGTAACAAACTCAATGAAGCGTGCACTCCGCACCACCAAACTTCTTTGATGATATATGAGGATACCGTTGGTCATAGTTTTCCAATTACACTAAAATATATACTCCCTCTGTCCCATTTTAAATTGCTTGTTTGTCTTTTTTTCTCCGTCGCAAATAAGTTGCCTGTTACTTGTTTTCGTAAACTTTTAAGAGTAAAATACCTAAACTACTCTTAAAATTAGTCACTCTTCTCCACCTTATCTACTCATTCATCATCACCCCCTCCTAAAAAGTGGTGGCAATTTCTGAAAATCAACTCAATTTTTTCATTTCCTTAAATATGTCCAAAAATCAAAATAGGCGATTTAAAACGGGACAGAGGGAGTAACATTCCTCCCCTATTTTAGTGTAATCCTTGATTAACTAAACAAATTCATAGCAAACAACAAACATATGCATAAATGAAATATCGTGATGATTGAATTTCACCTTAGTACATTACACATTTCAAATATTCGAATATCAGGGTATCACTAAGGATTGAACCCTCGCTATTCATTTTGAATACATCAAGATAATATACACAAAAGTTTACATACTTTAATGTTCTAACTTGACACTATTATTTACTAGCCTTGTGTCCTAATCCTTCATAAGCATATCGAAGCGAAGTCTCTACTTCTTGAAGCGGCTAAACTTCATGCTCATTTATGTTAGAAAAATGATTTATTATTAATTTTTATTTTATCGATTATTTCGAATAATGAAGAAATAATGTATTCATTTCTTATATTTATTCTATGATGATGAAATATTAATTAGTATACTTTTCTATGTTTTTTCCATCTCCTTTGTCTCGAGACAAGTCTCGTTAAAGTACATTAACAAATTGTTTCGTAGAGCAACCGAACAATTTGGTCTTCTTCATTGTATCCCAAAAGTTCTATCTTGTAACCCTTGTTGCTTATAATAGGGTAGATAAGAAACTTTTAGGAAAGCATTTCCAAGGATCACGCGCCTTGAAGGTTTATCTGGTTAATTTAACCAACCATGTTTTGAACTACGTGTGGCTTGATCCCTTTCATTGGAGTACGTATGCAACTTAGAATGTTTCATTTTTCTTAGTGCAATCACAATAATAAAATTATTGTTTATTGTTCCAACAAGGAGGAGACATAAACAAAAGTTATCGTAATTTTATAGTAGTGAACATTGTAATTGTTAGAATAAAAGACCAACGCTAGAGGGGGGGTGAATAGCGTTTGATCGAAGAAATCGCAGGAATTAAAAAATTAAAATGGAAGTAAAGGGAAGAGAAAAAGGCACACCGAATTTTACCCCGGTTCACCACAACTTGTGGCTAATCCAGCATCCCGAGAGACTCTCTCGAGCTACACTACTATCTCGTTAAGCTTGCGGGTGCTTAACAAACCGTTACAACTTGAGAGTTCGAGTTACACGAACCTCAACGAATCCTTCAAAGGAAACAATCCTTCCTTTGAATCAACCGAGAGAGGTACTATCTCTCAACGTGTCTAAGAACACAAGTACACTCAAGAACGAGACTCGCTTATAGAGTAGATTATGAGTAAACTAAGTATGCTCAAGAACAACTCAACCTTCACACAAAAATGGCTCTAGAAAGCTATGAAAAAATGATGATATATGAATGCAATGAAAGTATAGATGTTGTGAAGCGAATTGGTGAGAAAAGCAGACCCAAACACCCCTTTTTATAGTGCCAAAATAGGCTCCAACGGACCAATGCATTAAAGGGGTGATTGGCTTGATTTATGGGATTGAGTAAATTTGGGATCTGCAGGATATTGGCTTCCCATCGATGTTTGGAACTTACCCATCGCTGGTAAGCCAATTTTCCTTCAGTTTTGAAGCCAACGGTTACCTACCCATCGATGGGTAAATGCTTCCCATCGCTGGGTGGAAGGTT